ACAGACAGACAGACAGACAGATAGACAGATAGATAGATAGATTGATTGATTGATTGATAGACAGACAGATTGATTGAGAGACTGATAGACAGACAGACAGACAGATATTGTTCTCAGTAAATGACTCAGATTCCACACACCTTGAGTGTAATTTTTTAAGTTAACATCATGCATTTATTTCCAGCACTACCAGCAAATCTCCGAGTATTGCACAGTCCCTTCAAATGACTGCCTTGAGCAATCCAACACAAACGTTCTATAAGCAAATACAGTGGATATTACCATATAAACAAGAGCGGATATGTTTCATACCCCTCATACAGTTTGATATAATGAGTGTAAAACCAGGTGCCATTTTACTGAAGTGTGCATGATTAACGCCTACGAATAAAAAGTTTTAGATATTAGAAAGTGTTTTCATCTGCACCAGATCTAAGAACAAATTCAACATGAATAAACAAGGAAGGAAGATCTCTGAGTCAGTTTTGTTTAGACAGTAAGTTCTAAACCTGATTATCAACATTTTGAGGGCTCTTGCTTTTAAATTAGCATTTCAATGAGTGTTTTGGTAGATTGTATGTTTGCATCAGCTGTTTTAGCTAAACACTGAGTAATGTCACTTCTACATTTTTTACAGACTCAGTAAAGTGTAATAGCTCTGAAACTAGCGAGTTAAAAGAAACATCAAATCAAAAATAAAACAACAGGTCATGACACAAGGTATGCAAGGAAGGATTATGGACCTACTAGGCCCCACTTTGTTACCTTTTCCCCAGGGATTTAAAAAATAAAATACAAAATTAGATCTTATTTATTGTAATTGTGGCTTTACACTCCACAATTGCTACTTGAAATTATTTCTCATAATTGAGATTCAATATCAGCCTAGTGAGCTGCTTTAAGACAGAATCCTGACATGAAACCTTAAAAATGACCCATCTTAATTGATTTTCAGAGAATCTATGATTATTCAATGAAGCACACAGGATATGCATGACTCAATTGATTTCAGACCCTGGCATTAGCATGATGCTATGCTAACAACACTCTAACAGGTATAAAATATACAACAAATATCAGATTATATCACTATTGAAATATTTATATTTGAAAGTCAAAATGAGGTATCTAAGAAAGAAGCATAATTATGCTGAAACTTGACTCAAAATCGATTTCAATAGAGTTTGAAATTAGCAAGTTACTAAGCTAATGATACAGCACTCTAAAACCTTAGAACACAGAACACACAAATATTCGGTTAATACATTTAAATTAGATTTAAATTAAAGTAGAACTATGACTTGACTCAAATATTTTCAGTAGAGTTTGGAATTAACATGCTGCAACTGCTAACAATGCAATGCTCTAATAACCGCATACACACAACAAATATGGGGTAAAATAATCCATTTTAATTAGATCTTTAATTAAAACCATTTTATTTGTTTTAGTATTTAGTCATACGTATTATAAGTTAAAATTATTTATCTTAAAGAGTATCATAATTATAATAAGACCTAACCCAATTCATTTCAATAGCAGTTGGAATTAACATTTGCTAGCTAGCAAATCAATACTCTAATAACCATAAATATACATAAACAAATATTGGGTAAAATCACGTTTTTTAAATTAAATTAAAATATTTTTTTTATAAAATGTTCACTATTGATTTGCTAATTTATGCTGCCTGTACATTTTAGAGCAGATTTTGCGTCAGTAAGATGTCTATATTGCCTTGAAATACTACCTAAGTTGGCAGCTCACTAGGTTTTAGAAATGAAGATCATATTTCACAATCCAGTCACAGGTCAAATTAAATTCCACCCCACTTTTTTCTCATTATATATCATGTTTCACTCAGAAATATAATATAAAAGTAAAAAAGAATTATAGCTTCTCATAATTCTGACTCGCAAATGTACTGTCAAGTGACTGAAAATTCAAATTGATGCCAATCTGTATCTTAATTACAAGTAGCGTTTGTCTGTCAACAACAATTTTAAATTTCCTTTGTTTTCCCATGTCTCAACTTTAGGCCCCTGGCAGTCTGGAAGCTCCTTGACCCGGTTCATAATCCATCCCTGAAGGTATGGGAATAAATACACATACAATATTTTGTATATATATATATGTATATAGACTGTATATAGTATCTATATATAGCATCTCACTTTGATTTCTGTGTGGCACCACTGTTGCCTACTATATTATATTCATATTTTGTGGTGACTGAAATTAGATCAGCAATGATTCAACCACTGCTCTCACATGGATCCATCGATCACAACTCATCTGGCTAGAGCCGCAACTCAAAAATTACACAACACGTTAACATCAAAAACACTACGCAAACACTGTGGTGCTGTAAATCTGCTAATGTGTGACAGTGTTTCTTGCAGCAGGTTCTCTGATCGAAACAGTTACTTGGTCACAAAAACCGAAACCATACAAGCTCGTAAAAGCTCAAGTGGTGACAGATGTGCTATTGTTCAGTAGCGTTGAATTTGTCATTGTGTCGCTATTAGATTGTGGCGTTAGAGGAAGAATCCTTCGATTGCTTGTGCAGACTTAGCATGTGGTGGGGTACTCTTTTGCGTTTGACTCTCATGTGACTCTCGGTTTAGTCCTCAGCACCGCTCTTTCGTGAATGCAGACCTGGGAAGCCCCTCTAGAAGTCTCAGGCTATGTGGCCATGGTTAGAGTGGTAAACGGATGTGCATGGCTGAGCTGTTGGGCCTGGCAGCCAGGATGTAGATGGCGCTCTCCCTCAGGAAGTTGTCCCAGGTAATGGGTCTGGAAAATGTAACGGTAAAATAGAGTAAACTCAACTAACCCACAAATTATAAAAGCCAAAAGACACCTGTTATAATTATTTACCTATAGCTACTGTTTGACGCCATGTCGTAATTACCCAAATTTCAAAATGACAAAACGTGACGTTCTACTTGGAACTGACTCAGAATTATGAATTGTATGGCAATACTATCAACGTCACATCCTCGTACCACTCGTAATTACAACTTGTAAGCTGGGAATCTTCTAAGAGCTAAAGCGTCATTAATGCTATGTTGTAATTACTGTAATATTTAGTGTAGAACTACAATAACATCACAGCGCACACAACGCCTCTGCATTTACTACCGGTTTCTCTCAACATGGCAACACGAGAGCTGTCAGTCAGTGCATGGGAAACAAAGTAACTGGCGTTACTTATTTGAAAAAGTAACTCAGATGTTTTCTTCTACATTAAAAAGTAATGTGTTACTTTACTAGTTACTTAAAAACGTAATTTGATTACGTAACTTGCGTTACTTGAAATGCGTTACCCCCAACACTGGAGATAACAACACGTGACGTTCTACTTGGAACTGTCCTCAGACTCAGACATAGCTGGTTATATTACTTACAAATTGTAGTCCGTTACTGATTTCTAATTACAGGACAAAAATTGTAGTTAGTAACATAAGCCATTACATTACACATTTTAGGTAATATAATCGGACTACTTTTTGATTACTTTTGACCTAAATCATTTATCACATTGATTTAAATAGGATAATATTGTATCATATTGATGTAAAAATACAAAGAGTAAAAAAATATATTCATTCTTTGTAATTAACAACATTAAGTGCATTAAACATTACATTATATCATGGTTTCCCAAACTGGGGTTCGTGGGGGAACTGTAGGGGGTTCAGGAGTTTAATAAAAAAAAGAATAATTAAATCAAAAAATGTAAAATTAAAATAAATCATTTTAAAACACTTACTAAAAAAAACTAAATATTTACTTGTATGTCATGTGACCATTAACCATCAGAGAACCGTGAACATGCAAATGTGATACATCATTATTAAAATATTTATTTTAAAATCTCAGGAGTACTTCTAGTGAAAGAGGTTCAGACTTCAAAAAAGGTTGGGAATCCCTTCATTACATGTAAATAAGAAATACCATGAATTTGTGCATTTTATTGTGCTTGAAAGACAAAAACGAGGATTTAGGGAGAATCAATAAATTATGAATAATTTATTGCTGTTGTATGAATAATATGTAATCATATAATCAATATAAAGTAACTGTACTCTGATTATGAGTATTTTAAAATGTTACGGTAATTACGACATGCCGTTAATGCAGCTTTCAGAAGATTCCTAGAGTTCTACGAAGATGTGATGTTGATTGTTTTGCCACGGAAACGCATAATTCCGGTCTGAGGATAGTTCTGAGTAGAACGTCACAGTGTCTCGAAATTACGATAATTACGACATTGCATGAATGCTTACTTCAAATCTTCCATTCAACTCTGTCCAACCAATTCCAGTCTGAGAGTTCCATTCTGAGGCAGAACTGTCAGAATTATGGTTGCTATGCTGTTACTAGATGGTTGCTAGGACATTGTTAGATGGTTACTGGAGAGTTCTGGTTGATTGACAGGGCATTGTTATGTGAGTTGACTGGGAGGTTTCTATGCTGTTGCCTAGCAGTTGCTAGGTTGTTCTGGATGGTTGCTAGTGTGTTTCTAGGTGATGCCTATGGTGGATACTAGGGCAGTGATAGCTACTGAGTTTTGGTTGATTTACAGGGCATTATTTAGTGTTTGCTATGGTGATTTAAATGGTTTGTATGCTGTTGCTATGTGGAAGCTAAGCAGCTGATATGGTGTGATGGTTGTTCAGGTGTTTCTAAGTGGTGCCTATAGAATGTCCCAGGTGATTGCTAGGGTTTTCTGGGTGGTTTCTATGCTGTTGTTAAGCAGTTGCTAGTGTGTACTGGGTTGTTGCTAGGGCATTTCTTGGTGATTGCAAGGGTGTTGCTAGGCGGTTCCTAGGATGTGCCTACATGGCTCAGATCCCTTCTTTATTGTATGTGATTTTTTCTACATATTTATTCTCATTGTTGTGGAGTAACTAGTTACATATAACGTAATTTAATTACAAAATAAATGTAACTGTAATCTGTTACAGTTACAGAGAAAAAATGTGTAGTTAAATTACAGTTACTGTTTAAACACTAATAAACACTGTTTATTCTCCATCATCTAAAAATCATAATAATGGGAACTGATTGTAATGGGAGCATTTTAGTATGGCTGTGCAACACATTTGTAGTTTACAAGCAAACACACACACACACACACACCAACCTGTTGTCATTCTCCAAAGCTTTATCTCTGCTTCTCTCGCTGCTGGAACTGGCAGGACTGCTCTCAGATATTGGACCAACATGGCTGATACTGCAGATGAAGAAAGCAAGCTGAAACACACGCTGTTTCATTCAGTCTCTCCCACACAGACACACACACTACCGGACAGCTCACAGCAGGCCGCACTTCTACAGTCTCTGGGTTTTCAAACTCTAATTCGTTGTTCTCATGACACCTCAGAGCCCCGAGAGAGACGATACCCAACCACCGGCAAGACAAAACTAGTTCACTCATGAGCAGAAACATGCATTCAGGACTTGAATTGAAATTCAAAATGCATTCTCAATTCAATTCTGAATGGCCCACAACCCTTGTACGGTATATACAGTTGTCTCACAAACATCGCATGCCATTCCGTACACTGACATGATCTGACAAACTTCATTGACTGAAATAAATTCATTTGAAACAAGAACTTCCTGTAATTAAGTTCAATGACGTGTGAAGCAAAACTGACCAGAGCCTTGAACGGCAACCCAAACATCTTGTCCAGAACTGGGACCGCTCAGAGTCGAGACTGTCTGCTTTGATCTCAAACCCTCAGTTGATTTTAATGAGCGTAAATTAGGATGCAAGCTTAGTCATGCCATAAATGCACCAAACATACACACAAACACCCACAACCCCATGCACCCGCACACTCAGGCGCTCATTTAACCTGCTGTGCTCCTTAAAACTGATGAAAAATATCCTTAAGGGCTTCTCTGAGGGGAATAAAAGCCCCTCTTTTTGATCTTGATAATGGGAGGGCAAGATCTCATTTAATACAGCCATAGCAGCTGAGAGAGTGGCCATTACAGTCAAAAACTACCCAATTTAGCTTTGATATTTTTATCCACTGATTCCTTGGCCTCCATTATGGAATATTTAGCAATTGAGGTGATAATGAGTATAATGAGTATAATGATGATGATGGCAGGGAACGGTGTAAGATGTTTCCAGGGGAGGCCCATGCAGATCGAGTGACTTACCCCATACTGAACAAAGGGGAACACAATCCCATGAGTCTGCAGGGCAAATGGACATTCCGCAGTGGTGAAAAGGATGGGATGATTGGTTAAAAAAAAAAAAAAAAAAGGATGATGTCAAAAAAGACTGTCCAAATATTTAATTCACAAATATGTTGATAAGTCAGTCAATCAAAATTCAAGCAAAATATGTTATATAAAATATATATACTGTATACATAACCATTTAAATGTTTGGGGTGAGTAGGATTTTTTTGAAAGAAATTACATTAAAATTATGTAATGTAATAATTTGAAATTACATTGCATTGAATTGAATTGATTAAAAAGTGACAGTAAAGATAATATAATTAGCACTGTTAAATTATTAATCGCGATTAATCGCATCCAAAATAAAAGTTTGTGTTTACATAATATATGTGTGTCCTGTGTATATTTATTATGTACATATATAAATACACACACACATATATTGTGTAAACACAAACTTTTATTTTAGATGCGATTAATTGTGAATAATAGTTTGACAGCACTATTTATAATGTTAACAAAAGATTTATATTTCAAATAATTCTTTAAAGAATCCAAAATAAAATCATATTATGTTTTCAGCAAAAATCTGAAGCAGCACAACTGTTTTCACCATTGATAATAATAATAAATATTTCTTGAGCAGCAAATCAGCATATTAGAATGATTTCTGAAGGATCATGTGACACTCAAGACTGGAGTAATGATGCTGAAAATACAGCTTTGCATCACAGGAATAAACTACATTTTAATATATATTCAAAACAATAACAGTTATTTAAAATTGTAATAATATTTCAGAATAATACTGATTTTATTGTACTTTTGCTAAAATATTGTTGACATCTTGATAAGCATATTTCCTTCTCACACATTTTTTTACCAACCACAACCTTTTTAATTTACCAGTATATTTCCCAGAAGTTGTATCTTATACAGTAGCTTATGGATTTAAAAGAAACGTAATGAGAATTTTATAAGTGTCAACTTTATCTCAGATGTTTCTCTTAAATTCATCAGGATAAATAAAAATAGACACAAATAAGGCAATTGTTGACACACTGTGCAAGTATATACAGATAATATTTCTAATTATATAATTATGAATTTAGTTAAATATAAATATATATAAACATAAGTTAATGTTCAAATGAAATATTAACAATGTTTATAAATGAGAGATTTAACTTAACGTCCCCATTTAACCTCACTGCTATCTAGGAGAAAGATTTGAGATATTAAAGACATCACATTTGTGATATTTCTTTCTGGGCGATGGTGCTCGAGGAATGAAGGATTCAGAAAGACAAATGATCAATTCGAGGTAGCTGGCTCCATTTTACCCCACAAATCACTGCAAAAATGCATCATTCTGACTTTTGGGCTCTCAGAGTGAGGTTTGAATTATGATATGACTGGCAAAGAGCGCTTTGTCAAAGTCAGTACAGTCCCTGATTTTAGCCTGTCATTGAGAAACTTTCCTCTTCCCTTCCACAGATGACTTACCCCAGCGGTTATATCATCTCATTTACGTTATGCATTAATCCCAGAGTCAGAACTGTCAGCAAATGCACTGCTTAAATGATTCATACTCTCTCGGCAGAGTTCCTGAATGCAAAGTTAGCCCGTAATTCGTGAGAAGAGATGGGGGATACGTGCTAATAAAGTGATGGCGGTTAGCATTGGCTAGCAGCTCGTGGAGGCATTGGCAGCTTGGCATGGCTATAAAAACTGCCAAGCTTGAACCGATTTGTTGCTCCCAGAGGCCAGGCAAATTGGACGAGTCCCTGAAATGATTTTCAAGAGTTTGAAGTGTCTGAAGTTTATTGTTGATTATGTAAGTGGATGTGATTGAGAATCGTTCAGAAATGTCCTGCTAACTATGATTAGCCTCAATGACTCTCGTATATTCAGCTCACCTGACACTGCAGGACTGTGATTCTTTGTTAATCTTGTGGAACCAGGAGGTTTGGGCTTTTCTGGCTTCTCCGACAGTGATGATCCCATCTTTGTCCTGGTCTATACTCTGAAATACGGCCCGTGCTCGATCCCTCTCCTTCGCTGTGAGGATTCTCACCAGCGAATTCTGGATTGAGGAAAAACAGAATCATTTACACAATGCTTTTAGATGAATGGTTGATTGTTCATTATAATTTGGCATTTTGAAAGTTTTTTGGGGAGAAAATAATAATTTCCACAATACTTTTGTTGAATGGTTGATTGTTCATTATAATTTAGCATTTTTATTATTACTAAAATAATAATAATAATTTTCACAATGCTTTTGGTTGAATGGTTGAATGTTCATTATAATTTGGCATTTTGAAAGTTTTTTGGGGAGAAAAGAATAATTTCCAGAATACTTTTGTTGAATGGTTGATTGTTCATTATAATATAGCATTTTTATTATTAATAAAAATAATAATAATAATAATTTTCACAATGCTTTTGGTTGAATGGTTGAATGTTCATTATAATTTAGAATTTTTTAAATTTTGGATGAAAAAAAAACAGAATAATTTCCACAATGCTTCTGGTTGAATGGGTGAATGTTAATTATAGTTTAGCTTTTTTTTTTTTTTTTTTGGGGTTCATCTGAAATAAAAAGCTTTTGTAACATTATGCACTGTACCATTCAAAAGCTTTTTTTTTTTTTTTTTTTTTTTTGGGGGGGGGGGAATAAAATTAAATATTAGTAAAAAAAAAATACTAATAATAATAATAATTTCCACAATACTTTGGTTGAATGGTTGATTGTTCATTATAATTTAGCATTTTTTTAATTTTGGCGGGAAAAAAAAGAATAAAAATTTTCACAATGCTTTTGGTTGAATGGGTGAATGTTCCTTATAATTTAGCATTTTGAAAGTGTTTCGGTGTTTTTTGGCAAACATAAACAGCCAATCGTCCAAGATAATGGGATAACGAGCTATATTATTCAAGGGAAGGATTGTGTATTCATACTATTCATAAATGTGAATGTCAATAAATGGTTAAACATAAAGAAACAAAGAAATTACTTTTATTCAGCAAGGATGCATCAAATTGATCAAAAGTGACAGTACGGACATTTAGAATGTTACAAAATATTTCTATTTCAATCTCATCAGTTAGGGATGAGAACAATCTAGTAATTGTTGCACAATTTTTTGTGTTAAGTCTTTAAATGTGCACACGTTTTGAATCTTTTGTGTGTACTGTCATAAAACATAAAATGCCTTTATAAGTGGTCATTGCGCTTTTTCCAAAAACGCAAACAAGCCGAATTTGTCCATGTCCCACATTACCTCGGTCCGGAACTTCTGCAGCACTGAAAGTGACTCGTGGTAGAGGAAGTCAGACCACTCAATCTGACCCTTCTTGTCTGGATCCAGCGCTGCAAACTGGGCCAGAACCTCCTCTTCCTCCTCATCCGTCAAGTCTCTTTCAAAGAGCTGCTTGGTCACAAAGTGCCTGTACTGCAGGAGCTCATCTGACACCAGGCACGACTCTGAGCAGAAAGTAGGTGAGAGGAGACTTACTGCATCATCAATCAATGGAAACAGGTCAGGCCTAATTACAGTACTGACGTGATAAATTAGTAAACCTTTAATTGGCTTCCTTAATTTACTGCACAAAGACATATTTAAACCAGAATCTAGAGGAGGATGTTAAAATGGGACTGAGAGGAACACCTGGGATGATCTTGCACTGTTTGAAGGTTTCCATCAGACTGTACATCTCTTCTTCAGTAAGCAGCAGGTTCACATTATCCTGAGGGAGGAAGAGGAAGAGTCTTTCGGTTCTGGTAGAACAGACACTTCACATTAAAGAGAATTATACACATTATGCTGCTTACTTGTTTCTGGTCTAACCTTTGAAACAACTGTATCAACAGGAAATTCATTTTCAATATTAGTACAAATACAGTACGATGCATTGCGCATTAACTCAAATGTAAGATATTTATAAATGAGTTTAGTATGAACAGGATAATGAAACAAAATTGTAAATCATGAAAAGGTAAGAAGCCATCTGCCTATCCCAGCTGGCTTCTGTGACTTTAGTTATTTCTTTGTTTGTTTGTTCGTTCAACGATTTTAAAACCTAAATGAAATATTTAGTATTTTAATGGATTCAACTTAAATTAAATAGTTAAAGAGAAACGCTTTTGAATTATATAGGCTACTTTTATAACAATTTTGATATATACTTATATGCAGGCCTATATTTTAAATTGAAGAATCGCAAATAGCAATAGACTTTGAATTCGGATTGAATGATTGTGCTCATTTGGTCTACAGGTTATTATAAGTAACGAAGATGATTATAAATGTACATCTAATCCATGGAATTATTTCAAAAAATAAACCTATTAAATATAATAATGTCTAATTTAAAAAAAAAATAACAACATGCCACTGGGTACCTTCTGCCCCAATTCACTTTGGGGAGAGGGTCACTTTATCAGGTCTGACTTGAAATTTTATTTCCAAATAATAATATATTTTTTAACAATAATCCCCCATTAGCAAACAGATTTTAATAAACTTTAATATTCAACATATACAAGTAAAATCACAGATCACTATTGTCCAGCGTCAAAACATATCATTTAAACTAAAAGCTGTTCAAATTGAATAAATCTCAAAAATGTTGATGTTCATTTAAATAGAGTCTACTGATCAAAGTTTTCAATCACTACTCTTCACAATATTTACTGATTAATATTCCCAATCACATCAATATTTGCAGAGAAAAGCCCCCAATAATAATAATAATAGATTAATAAATCATGGAATGGATATTACAAAACGTGGTCTATTTCTTGATCATTTTTCTAAATTAACACATTCAGATGACAACCCTAGTAAAAAGACTTAATGAGAAAAACATCCTGCACAGAGCCTCAGGGCCCTTCAGACTGAGACTTAAAAACACAGTTACATTAATTATCTCCAGCAGCAGGTGTTTCAATCTCTCTCTCCCCCCTTTATCTTTCTAAAAAGGCTAACAATCTCTGAGCCAAGGGTAATGAACGACCTGACTAACTCGGCTTTTAAGGAAACCTAATGAGTTTGAGGTGTAAGAGGTGCAGGAAGAAGCTCTCACAGATCAAATGACAGCTTGTCCATTCATATCAAATTCAGAGCGAGATTTCTTTCCTGGCTCAAGCTCTGCCTTCAAACGAACGCTGTCAGAGCCCAGCAGCATTGGGAGTAGCTGTATTTTCAATCAGCTTTCCCCAGCCTGATGTGAACTCATCTGAACAATGGCACTAGAGCAGATGGGAAGGGCAGCCTGCCTCTCAGAGGTACCTCCATTTCCTGTCAGCGGTGACTGTGGGATACACTCCCCTTCTCAGGATGATCATTGAAATGAGATTGGATTTCATGTCTGTTGTGTTATCCACGAGCCATTCTCAACAGACATCAGGTCAGAGACCCCAAAATGAGGAACAGATGTTATAAACAATGCTTAGCGAGAGGTGGGATTCATTGTGGTCTGGCCTTCACATCTCAGTGGTGGTTTCTCTGATCCCCTGGAAGGATGTGATTTGAAATCTGCTATCTTTGCTCACGGGTGCATGGTAATGGTCACTTATTTTGGAGCCAGTAAACACCATGTGACTATGTAGCCGCAAGAAAATTACATCATGTCAACACAGATTGGCTGATGGCACCACAACAATGTCCAGTCCCAAGTCATGAAATGAACATGAAACATTTCAGACTCATAAGCTGCTTGCAGTTATTCCAGTACACAGCTACTTTTAAATGACCATAGATGTAGAAACATGCTTTTTGTCCACAAAATGGTGCAGTCTGGGGATAACTGACAATGCTAAATAGCAAAACCCTGCCCTCTTGGTTGAAATATTGACATTAAATCGGATGTTGACAGTTGGGTTGTGTGTACTTTCATATTTACTTCACAATAACAAAATTCCAGCAAAATTTCACAAAAAAAATTTCCATTGTCAGTGGATTAGTGATAATATGAAGCAAACCAAGCAGCAAACACTGCAAATTCTTGCAATGTGATCCAATGCAAAATCTTTAACCCTTAAGTGACCTTCCCAGATGCTCAAATTTCTATTAAAATAACTTGATTTTGACTGTAAAAATTCACCAAATAACTGTAAATCTTACCTTTATTCCATCATAACAGTAGGGTTAGGTTCAGAATAGAATCGGGGTTTTTTTTACTGTATTGTTTAGAAATTAATAGTTCACAGTATCTGGTTTTAAGATAGTAATCTATTCCAAACGCATAACTTAACTGACCTGAAAAAGCAACTGATTATCCATAATTTTTTTTTTACATGTCTGTCTCACATTTTTAATATAGACAAACCATGTGCAAATTCATCAGTCAACACCATTGCTGCGCATTTTCTTCTTAAAAAATTAGGTGTACCAAAGACAGTCTGAAAAACGTCCTTTCTAAATTCAGAATTTCAATGAATTCACTCATGGATTCACTCTCCGATAATGATTCATCCAATATTGCCACTTGCCATTGTGTAGCATTTACTACTTCCGTTAAATGAGTGAAAGTACAGCAGGTCCTAGCCGGTGTGACTGAGTGGAGGCGGGACCTAATTTGCATACCCATGTATACTAAATGAGGTATGGGTGTAGAGTTACATTTAAGCATATTAAGAAATTATTTTCATTGAAAAAACTGTTTAAAAATGTCATTGTGATTATCAAAGAAAGAGTTTTAACAGACAAAAATAGTGACAGCAGGGGTACTTTAACGTAAAAGCGGAAGCAGCCATTTGTGAATGTGATTTGTTTCCAATTTTTTAAGCTGTACAAAAACAGTCCACTATGCTGCTTAATATTGCAAACTGACATTTGTTATCATATTGGTGTGTTTTTTTTCGTAGACACACTGGTTTGTAGTGCAAATAGTGTAATAATTTACTGCACTTTATTATTTTTCTAGTTATTTACCTACAGCAGCTAATGAATCAGAATCTCGCACATTCACGGAAAACAGCCTACTTCTTCATTACAAAACAAGGTGGATAGAAGGTTGAGGTTGAGAATGCGCACACATTTCAAAACAAAACGACAAAATAAGTTCAAGCTTGTGTAGCTAGACGCTGTCATATAAATATGTTTTGGGTCTCAACATTTTACTTGTCTTCTCATTTTGTATCATATGGGTTTGGAACATCATGAAGATGACTAAATGATGACAGAACTTTCTTTTGGGTGGACTATCCCTTTAAGCCTTCATGTTCGCTGAAACTCCAAGAGATTTGAATTTAACAGGAAATCCAAAAGATGAAACCAGCGTAAAGAACACAAGCACAGTTGGACAAGCTAGAGGCCAGACAGAGAAAACAACACCGCAGTTTCTCCACAATGCTTCACTGCTGGGTGACATTTTCAAACCACAAACCTTGAAAGATGTCAGAACGAGACGGGGAGAACATCACCTAATTATGTTCACACAAATAGTACAGCTAGCTAGCTATTTAGCAAAACAATACACAGCTTATCCCTATTGGCTGTAGGCTATCTATTTTGCTTCAGCTCACAATTTTCATTGTTAACGTTCCCCATCATCCATGGCATCATCTTTATGAGCATATCTCCACACCAGGTGCATGTCATATCAGTTTGAGCTCTTTTATTGTTGTTTTTGGACGAGTAAGGGCTGTAATTATCTAAATTGTCACATGGCTAATCACAGTGCTGATTCTATTGAATGGCGAAGCCCGCATTTGACGCCAAGTGCCAAAATCAGTTTGACAACCTGGCCTGGACTCTTGATTAATTTTCCACCATGGTCTTCTCGCTAACACTTACTGATGCTAAATTTCATGCTTACAGTACTCCACGCTGATATAATTTCCCATTAAGCCTTAGTGTTATGCTAGAAGTCAGCCCAATGCACTGAAATACACTTGAAGATATTGAATGGTATTACATGAAACAAAACATCAGTGTCCCTTGAAAGCAATATTCAACAGTGTAATCCCCAGTCTGAACATCTCTAGGCCTCGACATACGCACGCTTACGCACACATGTGGATTAGGTTGTAGCGATGGCAGAGTGAGAAAATCAGACACATAAGCTGTGAATTAGCCCTCCAAGGAAATACACGCCAGACATTTCGGCAACAACCCGGCGCTTCACATATTGTTTCGAGGGATGTGTCCACAGCTGTTTATGTTTGCAATGCAGCATGAGATGCAACCCATTTGAGGGTGTGAGTTTAGCTGGAAACCAGCAAGTGCATCTGGAGTGCGTGTAGCAGCAGCAGCCTCGAAAATGTCTTACACTCTCAACAAATGATTTAAGCATCAGCAGCCTGCACGACTGAGATAAGCGCTCTACTTCACTTTGAAGGACGCTCGTACGCTTTGACAGCCTGACAGCCAGACTTCTCTGACGCCGGGAGAAAGACCACTTTGAACAGAGCCCAAACTCTCTAGCATAACACAATCATCTTGACATGCTCATCTTCACGCTGACCTTTGGGAGGAGCTCTATGGTGTAAGGATCTGTGGATATATGCTAGCCAACAGGTGGTCTATATATTTGATCACTCTGTCAGCACTTTTTGCTGGAGAGGGATATAAAAAGAAGAGGAAAACTTGGACATATTTAGTTAAGAAATGTCCTTGGTCTTATTGCGTCTCTGAAACAAATTGTATTTATAGGCGGGGCATTAGGCGATTGCAGAAGAACTGCAACAATGGGAAGTTATGTTTCGGCTTGAGAATTTCAGAATTCTGAGAGGCGATGACTGACGTATTTGTATTGCAAGCTCTGTTATCAGCCCAACAGTGGAAAATTAAACCATATCCATACCCGCTGGGCTGGATCGGCTTGGAATGGCATGGTTAAGAAATGAGAACAGTTTGGGCCAACGGTGGAAAAGTGAGTCATGTGATACGGAATTTTGCATGGGACCAAAACAGTGTTAATTTCGTCAATGAAGATGACGACGAAAAATATTTGTTAACGAACATTTTTTCTGTGACTAAGACGAGACGTTGACGAGCTAAAACTAATATCTGATGATAAAAACTACAACGAAATTTATGCCGCGTCTTCGTTAACAAGACGAGACGGGACTATGTTGAGGACTACTGGACATTCAAAATACATCCTATAGGCTACTGTCTTGTCCTTCAAAATGTGCGTCCCTGTCATTGGATTGCAATCAGATAAGGGGCGTTTGCATATCTAGTCTCAAAAGTTAGTGAAGGCGGGATAGGCGGATAGAAGTGCTCTCTCTCGCGCACGCTCCCCTTCTTCAGTTCTCATATAAAGCGCACGATCAGTTCTCAGTGTTCAAATACACACAAACAGTCCAAATGTCTATTGTGTAGAGTATCTCACTTAAATACAGTCGGTTATGGATTAAGTGAATGTAAACAGGTGGGTGAAAACTGAACGTGTGCAGTATAACATGCATGCCTTCCATCTTAAAGGGACAGCATTCCTAATTAAGTACCTATCCGTGTCATTAATGTTAACCAACAAAAGATGTTAAATAAATATGTTAAGTAAACCTACTGTATCTGAAAAATTAGTTTAATTTGTATCTCTTTCATATTTGTCTTATTGTCTTATTCTTCTTCTTTTTCAAAAATTATAAATTATATATATTATATATGAACAACTATAATTTTTATAAGTTTCTCGCTTTTCACTACTGTTAAAGGGATAGCTCACCCAAAAATGAAAATTGTCTTCATTTATTCAAGTTTTTTGACTAAAAGTAATGACTAAAAGTTGACAAAAATGCAATGACTTTTCGTCGACTAAAACTAGACTAAAACTAGGAAAGACTCAAATGACTAAAATGTGACTAAGTCTCTTCATAACTTTTATTCTCGCTGTAGTATTGTTGCTGCCGCCATGTCGTGAAGGCGCTGTGTGTTTCGTTGTGGCCAATCACAATGCACTGGATAGCTGGCCAATCAGAGCACACCTCGCTTTTCAGACCGATGAGCTTTGTAAAAATCGACGCGTTTCAGAAAGGCGGGGCATAGAGGACAAACAATAATGTACAGTATGTTGAAAAGAATGTGTTTTTTTTAACCTTAAACCGCATAAACACATTTCATTATACCAAATACACAAAATAATGTTCTTTTTAGCAACATCATATGACCCCTTTAAGCATTTTCCTCTCAAGATAAAGACTAAGACTAAATCAAAAATGCCTGTCAAAATTAACACTGGACCAAAACATTTCCCCTTGCAGATTCCACAACGGGTTCAAGTTGGTCACACTAATTTGCCGTGTTGGCTGACATAAAACTGATTTTTTTGAAGGTGAGTTCTGTGTGAGCTGTGCTTCATACATCATACATTTTTCCATTTATTGAAAATGGAAAAATTTTTGCTCACAAAACTTTTGCAGGAGTTTGCAGGAAGATAAGAAATTGTTGAATAAAGTCTTTATTTTTGTTTTCTTTGCGCACAAAAAGTATTCTCTTAGCTTCATAACATTACAGTTGAGCCACTGGTAAATAGTCCATTTGTAACCACATGTGGACTATTTTAACGATATCCCTACTACTGTACCTTTCTGGGCCTCGAACATGGTAGTTCCCTTGCTGTCTATGCAGGGTCGAAAAGCTCTTGTATTTCATCAAAAATATCTTAATTTGTGTTCCAAAGAAACACTTCTTCTTCTTCTTGAACTGATCTTCTTCTTGATCTCTTTAATATCATAGAACAAGATTTTTTTTTTATAAAGACCCATTTGTAATGAAAAACTGTATGTGATATTAAAATTATAAATGAAATAATTAACTTTATATTGTAATTGTAGTAAAGAGAACATAAATTATTAAAATATTGAATGCATTACATTTTTTAAATATTACCTGGAAAAAAATGTACTTTGTATTTTTTCTACTCACTAACAGAATAAAGTCTGATATGAAAACCTGAAGATAAACATAAAAGTAGGGCAGACAACAGAATAAAATACCCAGAATTATTCAATAAGGTTTCATTTGCTAACATTAGTTAACTACATTAGTTATCATGAATTAACTATGAAAAACTTCAAGAGAGCAACCATACATTTGTGTTATGTTTTACTTTGTTTTATATTCATTTGTTCATTCATTTATTCTTCATTAATTTATAATCATTTATCATTTAATCATTTTATTATTCCATTCAATCATATGGTAACACTTTATTTTGATAGTGCACTTTAGACATTCTACTAACAGTAAGTAACTTTGCAACTACATGTCAACTAGCAGTCATTAGAGTATCAGTAGACTGTCTGATTACACTATCTGTATTATAATAAATATCTGCTAACACTTTATTTTTATGGCTCCACAACATACAACACACTGACTATGAGAAACTTTGCAAGTATATGTCAACTTATTCTACTAAACCTAACCTAACCTAACAATCTACTCTGAGAGTTAGTAGACATGTAGTTGCAAGTTAATGAGAATTAGTTGACATGTAGTTGCAAAGTTACTTATAGTTAGTAGAATATCTAAAGTGGACTATCAAAATAAAGTGTAACCAATCATATAAACATTTATAATCATTTAAGCCATTTATATACCCGTTTCATTGATTTATCCATTGATTAGTCACTTATATTTTTTAAATATAATATATTTTATATTATATTTTTTCATTGTTTGAAGTTTATTTACTTTTCTGAGATTGAATTATTATAGAAAGTACATCAAAAGATAAAATTGCAAGACAAAAACGTAAATAGAAATTTGTTGTTTATAGTCTTTCGTGATTGTGTGGTTTCAAGGGATATTTGTGTTCATTAGTAAGAGACAAGAGAATGTCTCCATTTCAAGGTTTTTAATGTCACATTGTGAAGCAGTAATTTTCCATTGCTATTGCTTGTGGTATAATAACACTTGTTGGATTTGTGTTCGTCAGACAAAGTCTAAGAATTGAAACATACGCAACTAAGACTATTCAATAAACTGCTCTTTTTTTTATCATCACCATTTTGTCGTTTGCTTCTGCTCTTCTCCAGTCAACTTCTTGGCTGATAGAAGACTGTTAATAGAGTATTGGGTACCAGACAAGACTTTTGGGTATTAGACAATTTTGCTGACTAGTTGTTCTGTTACCAGTCAAAACGAATATTTTCTGACAGTATCTGGCATCCGGGACAGGATTTGATATTTCCGGCGTGGAGCCATGATCTAACAGATCCCCTACATGACCTCCCTTTGAATATTTCACGTGGAAATATGTAATATTACAGAAATAACATGCATTGTTTCACACAGGAATGAAAAACAGCTAATGATATTGAAATCTAAACTTTTTAAAGGTATAATTCCCCAAAAAATCTATATTCTGTCATTTTTTTTAGTTCAAAACCTTTACACTGTTGTTTTTGTTCAACGATACATTGAAAAGTTTCAGAAGAATTTTCATAATTCTCTCATAATTCTCCATACAGTGGCAGTTCATAGTGACTACATCTATGACAATCAGGTCATTGTAATTTCTGAGTAAACTGTTCCTTTAAGACAGCCGCACAGATAAATAAATAGTTCAGTCATGAAACTCTAGATGGCGCATTCTGACAGGGTGTTAACGTAACTGATTATATTCAAAGTTAAACGACTTGGCACAAGCTGATTGGTTCATGCTGCATATGCAGCCAATGAGCTTACTGCCTTGCATTTATATGGCTGGCTAGCATTCACTTGAGATTCCTGCAGCGCGCTTTCAGAGTTTCTCTGAAACCCTCCACCTTCCCCAGCTCCACCTGTATAGATCTGCTACGGGGTTATTTTATATGCTATTTGTGCAGCAGCAGTATGTCTTAAATACTCACGGCACTGTATCGCCATATGCATTGGCAGTAGCAAGTTCCTGTACTTGCTTGCAGCAGCAGCAGCAATAATCTACAACTACAGCAATAACCAACAGCAGCAGCAGCGTAGCAGATCTGTTCCGCCAAGACCAAATACAACTTACATTGTCATATCCATCACCATGCTAAAATGTTCCGAGAGTTGTCATGATGCCGCTCATTCCTGCGGAACGGATCCTTGCTACAGACTGAAAGACATTTACTGTAATAACTAGGAAACAACTCCACACAGCCAGAGACTGGAAATGTGCTTGTAAATATGTCTGTATGTGATAGTGTGTGTATGTATTCATCAAAGAGGGAACTCACGCAGTAATAGCAGCTCCAGCCGGTGGTGGTGTGGGCCGTCTCTCTCATTTCTTGCAAAGCATCAGTGCTCAGGTACCCCATCTCCTGCAGACAGCCGTCGTGGAAGACCCGTGTGCACGTCCGGCAGGGGAACAGATCGTCTGCCGTCCAAACCTCACACACCTCGCACATCTCATCGTTGACGGGCTGATCGCAGAACAGTGGGAGACAACACAGATAAATCATCAACAAGACTCTTATTGATTCACTGAAAAAAGGCCATACAGCGCACTGAAAATGCATAATTACACGTGACAGGATGTGTGGTGACTCAGCACCTCTACAATCAAACTTCTATACCTCCCTCCATTAGCTGCTTTCCATTAAAGGTCACCAAATATAGAAATAATCTCACTTGACATTCCCTACTTATTTAAAGTCTCCTATGGTGCAGCTGAATCTGCATGTGGTTTACTTTCATGTCATGATATGTGGATGTCATGCTGCTTTGATGAATGCAGCTCAAGAAAAGGTTTTACTGATCGCACAAGGGAAATTTATTTACAGTTTTATAAATACTAAACTGTGATAGAATCCAACTGTATAGACGGTATAGACATCTACCTGTTTGCATGTAGGCCTATGTAATGTATGTATTCATTCATTCATTTATTCACTTCCTTTTTTAGAACCGTTAGACACAATCTACTAACTAAAGGTAGACTACATTGAAGATACTTAGAAATATATTTTGAAATACATGACTATATAATTCTAATTTGATCAAATATCTCAGTCCTACAAAGATGATGCCACAAGACAAGTCAAATTGATGACTTGTTTTGTTGTTAAAATAAAATAAAATAAAAATGTTTTAAGGGGAAGAAAAATTGATGACTTGTTTGTTGTTGTTGTTGTTGTTGTTGAAATTTATTTAAATAAAATAAAAAAGAAAATGGATAAAAGAAAATCAAAATGTTTTAAAGGGAAGTCAAATTGATGACTAAAATAAAATAAATACAAAAAATAAAATAAAATAAAATAATTAGATGGAAAAAAATCAAAATGTTTTAACAGAAATTAAAAACAGAAATTTAATTCAATTAAATTAAAGTAAAGTAAAGTAAAGTAAAGTAAAGTAAATTTCATTTCATTTCATTTCATTTCAAATGTTGCCTTGGCAACTAACTGAAATAAAACAAATTTAAGTTGAAGAACTAAAATCGCTTAAACCAAAAACTGATATACACATTAATAAAAATTAAATAGAAATATTTTTTTAAAACTACATGAGAATATCACATAACAAAATGACTAAACTAAATATAAAATGAAAACTGAAAATATAAAAATAAAAGCTAACTCAAAACATTAATGAATACTATAATAGCATATAAATAATACTAAAGTAATTAGTAGCTAGTTTTAATGCTACAAATGAGAGAAGTTAGGACGTTAGTTTAGCTAGGATAACGTACAGTAGCTTGTTTACACTATTTGCAAAACAACACTACTAAAATGTTCTTAAGTTACTAGCATTGCTACTTTTTACTCAATAACCTTTCAACAGGTAATGAGTGTTTAACAAATGTGGTCAATCCCTGATGGAGTCTACTGTCTAACGAACTCGTCTCATTTCATGCTGTTCTTCCTCTCTGCAGCGTCGCCCGATAGAGACAGACATAACTATTGACAACCTGTCACATTAATGCAACTCAGGGTCAGACATTTTAAAACCTTGGAAACGTGCAGAGACAAAACTATAGTTCAAAGTTTAGATCATTTTCGAGGACTTTTGGTGCAGACCCAAGCGTATCCACAGGAGTTGGGATGATTTGAGAGCTGTGATGACTCACGGCCAGTTACATATATAAAATATTAGGATGGTTTTGTCAAGTCAAAATAATAAGGCAGTCCATATAATGAATATATGCCCATAAAATGCCAAAGTGCTATTTTTATCATCCACAGACAGTAGAGGTCCACTACCATTCAAGCAGTTAAATACCAATGGGTCGTACTGATTCAGATTTAGAGGCTCAGTGGCAAGGTGACATCCTTCGGCTCTTCTACTGCGCTACTTTGGCTCCACTTACAGCGCTACTACTGCTACTTCTGCTGCTAGAGTCAGTGACGCAAGCATACAATCACAGCTAAATATTACAATGTGAAAGGACGTGGAACGTGGAAACCAAGCATTAAAATTAGCTGTAGCTCCAGAACCACTGCTACCTAGTCAACTTCAAGTAACTTGTTAATTTGCATATTAAATAGGAGCTTTACACACCTTTTTTAAGGATCGTGGCCCTACGAAACCAGGGATCAAATACTTGTCAGATATTCCAGATGAATAATTCACCCTACTGTGGCGTAGGCACCAGACACACTCAGTCTCTGCTCTTCAGATTGTGACATGTGTCTCTGAGGAGAGTGAGGATTGTGATATGAGCGCGGGGGAGAGAGGTGCTGTATTTAGAAGCGGGCCATCCTAATATTTTATTATTGTACACACTTCAGCAACTTCATCCCGTTCGGCCTGTTTCTAAATGAGCAGACATTTTTGTCATAGCCAGGGTTATTATCGTTAACTAAAACTAATTTGTAATAATAATAATAACATATATATATATATATATATATATATATATATATTAGATGGAAAAATAAGTGAAAATTAAAAATCATGCCTTGTCAACTAACTGAAATCAATTCAAGCTGAAACACTTAACTAATGAAATGGCAAAATCTTTTTTTTTTTTTATTAAATTAAAATCAAAATTAAAACTGAAGATATAACATAAAAATGACAACGACACCCTAGCAACCAATCCAAAATTTAGCAACTGATTACAATGAAGAGAAAATATTATATTTTGGACCATATTTTGGACATCCAAATTGATTAGTTTTTCCTAAATTATATTTATGGTTTGGTTCAAACTTTACATTTTTCTTTATTATTAATCAAAAATATTTATTGATAATAATATAATTATTCCCAAACACAAATAAATTAATTAATTAATTAATTAACATACAAAGTAAAAAGATGATTTACATTAATGATTAAAATAAATATTAATATAATAATTATTTATAAATCATACCATACCTAATATATTTTCTTTAGACACCAAAATGTTACTTAATGTAGGCCAATATAATAATTTTTAGTTTTCTACAGCTTTTTAAATGAGATATAATATGAAAGTGGAATTTTAAAACTTAAACTTACTATAAATTATATATTCTCTCTCTCGATCTATCTCACTCTCATATATATGTGTGTGTGTGTGTGTGTGTTTGTGTGCATAACAAAAAGGGATATTCTCTTCGAAAAACCTTAATATATATTATGATGCATTTACAAAAAGCATTTTAAAAAAATTCAAAGTTAATTTCACTTATTTCAGTTTAACAATGTCCACAATTTAAAGTGTTACCGTCATACCTCTCAGATTTCTCTTCTGACAAAAAGACCCCTGTAATCTCAATATTGTCTCAAATTGTGCTCAGATTTGCTAAAATGCCAAAGTCTGCAATCAAACATTAGAAGTTTGACTATAAACTCAAACATTTCTGATCTAATTCTTCCCAAAATCTAAAAATTGTGTATATTTTTATTTCTCCTAAGAAAACGTAAGATAACGTGTATTCCCCTTTGCCAAAGCAAAAGCAACGTTTTTTTTCTTTCTCACAATTATATTCACCAGCTGTTAAAATTTTCATTCATGTCGGTACTGCCTGTTTGTTTATTCATTTTCCTGAACCATATTTTAACTTCGGCAAATGCATCTAGACATAACTCACAAAGACGAGCCAAATTGCATCTCATTCTGCCTGCTCTTATGTCTTTTATTTCTGCTGAGAGAGAGACTGCAGGTAAACAAAAGCGTTCTGTTGAGTGGAGTTGTGTGGAGTGGCTCTTCTCCGGCACGCTATGAGGTCTGGCCGCAAGCTTCAGTGACCCCAATTAATTTCGGACTGATCCCAGATGCCAGCACAGCTCACCCAGCCAGGTTTTTCCAGCACAGCCTATACCCGCTGCCCACGCACTGTCAACAAACCTGAGCTGAGCTGGGATCAGATTCCCTTACTCACAGTCTTGACATTTTCTCACATACGTGCGTCACAGAGCAGGTACCAGCTCAGAATGAAAGGATAACCTCCAACAGCACCCCTCTACTTTCAGCTGGAAGGAAAGCCAGACTAGTTTGTATATGTTTTAGGTGAGTTATTCAATCTCATGCAGTTGTAGGTATGGGAATTTGGTTAAGAGAGGTTGATCTAAAGGTGTGGAGTCTATGATTGTTGCTATAATGTCTAATTTTTGAGGCCTGGTATATAAATATACAGCTTCAAATGTTTTATTTCATCCATATTACCTGCTCTCTTTGCCCAAGCGGCACGTCTACCGGTTGGTCGTCGTTGACCTCTCTCTTTGGCCGCACAAACGCAGGAGGAGCGAGCTGATGTGCCTTCTTTAGATCCTCAGGCTCCACCCCCTTTCCATCACGGAGCCGCCCCCAAGCCTCCTGATTGGCCTTATGCTCCTCTCTGGGCGGAGCTGAGGCCTGCTGATTTGGTAATGACCCTGGTTTGCTGTCCTTGTCTTTCAGTTCAGTATGCTCCTTGTTCGCCTGGTGGGATCCATCAGCAGATCCATCCCCGTTCTCAGCTATGACCTCATCAGTCGGGGCCCCAGCCGCTGGGGCCGCCCGGTCCTTCAGACCGTCTTTAAACGCTGACAACAAAAGCTATTTTTACCATAAGACATTATTGATTTATATCAGGCTATGCAATCACCAACGCTGGTGTTTTCAGCAGGTTAAGCTTCAAATCCTACATTATATTAATATAGCAAAGAGAGACAGTTCTCATGCTTGTGCGTCGGTGTTAGCACCCTGTTGCATAACAGATATTAAGGTTGAAAACAAGACATGTTCTATCGACTTTGTCTCTAAATCATTGCTCTGGCAAAATACGCCCACATGCTGGATCAAGCAGATTTTGTGAACCACAGCAAATGTGTTGCAAACCACCTCGCTAGCATTTTCTTCACACAGATCTCTGATATGATTGATCACTGGCAGGCTTGATGTGTCTCGTATTGGTCTGCTGCCATCACAGACCATCAATCTTAACTAATGGCAACATGTGGTGACTTGTGATTGCAATGTGAACGGAGAGCAAAACCAATGCAGAGCTGTTCGATCGCAAGATTTTGTGATTCACGATCAGGGGTGTTTGCCGTTCAGAACTTGAATTCCAATTTAATTCCTGAAACGTTTTAGTTTTTTTTTAAATTTCAACATTGATAATAATGAGAAATAGTTCTTGAGCAGCAAATCAGCATATTAGAATGATTTCTGAAGAATCATGTGACACTGAAGACTGAGCAAAAACAATCTTCACATAAACCCTTCAGTGCCCTTCAGCAAGTACAAAATATACAGAAATTGAATAAAGTTATCAAACACTAAACTCTACATTAAATATAGAAGAATCCATAAAGCTACAAAAGTTATTGATTTACTCTTTTTTTCTTTTCTTCTTTGATTAACACATCACAGCAGCTGGGTTATTACGTTATTTGGCTGCTATTACTTTAAGAGCTGCCGCTGCTGAATGTGACATGGATCTGACACGCATTCTCGTATAGTTTCATTCGCAATTTAATATGAAATGATACAGGCTACAGCACGCACCACTGTATTTGTGTGTGCAATTGAAGAGCATGCGCTATGAGCACATTATAATGGCTTACAGAACAGGAAAACTTGTTTTTACTGACATATGGCCTGACAACATCTCATCTGACGACCGCAGTTCACTGTTGTTCTACTGAAGCTGCTCGTCACCTGTACCGTTTCCACGCTCATTTGACTCGCTCCTGGCGCTGAGGCAGAATGGAGCGCGCGTCTGAACAGTCTCCCATTTGATGTGCTCGTAAAGACGTTCTGCATCTAAATAAACGCAATTCTCGTCAAGAATAAAGAGACAGAAGCAGCAGTTGTAAGTCGAGTCACCAACCCTTGCTCCGCCCCTGCACAATGTACATATTTTACTAGCGTAAATTCCTTTTTCTGTCATTCCAGTTCAAATATTCAATTCAATTCAAATTCAAATGAACACTCATTAATTGCAAGGAAGACAATTCGCAAATTCTGAACTTTTTCCAATTCTGTTCAAAACACATGAACTGAACGAGCACTAAAAAATTAATTTGAAACATTCTGTAAGAGCATTAATTGTCTGTAATTTCTTATTGGTTATTCATGGTCACGTTGGGCACAGGTGATCACTTCCGTTTTCTTTATTATTTCCTTTGTCGGATTGTTTGTTAGGTTGGAAGGGGCAAGGAGCGGGAGCCAACTTTCTGTTGACCGTATTGCATTGGTCTAATGTTTCATGTGCTTTAATAAAACTCAAAAGCAAGGTAAGATCGTCAGTCTTCCTTTGATGAGATAATGACCAAGTGCGAACGAGTCACGAGCCCACTACCTAGCCTCTATGTGGCGATTGGATGCCGCTAATGCATTCAGTTTGGTCCATTCCATTCTTGTGTTGAACATGAACTGTGATTTAGCTTGTCCAGACATCAGATCATCTTGAATGCTTGCTCCATCCATTCAGCCTTTAATCAGGGTAATGGTGTGAAACTGCTTCAGTTGGCATTCTCTCGCCTTCTAAACGCAAGGCACAGCATGCTTCTGAATTTCAATGGATATTTCCTTCCCCCATTTATTCTTAACTATCAACCCAAGCTCTGACCCATCACGTTCATCTCTCTCTGCACCCACCTAAACAAGCCACACTGTAATATCGCTTTTGTTCCTATAGGCAGTGTCTGAGAATGAACTATAATTATGAGGGAAATCAAGGAGGTGGTGCTGAGCCTCATCTCATCAAAGGCCTGGGAGTGACACAGAGATTTTTGCAGTAATTACCCCCGGCTGTATGATGTATTTTACTCTGTTCCAGCTCAGCCTGTTCTGATAGATGTCACATCAGCTGGCTGAGGGAGGTGTGGTTTAATGTCTTGTCGCCGAATTAATTAATGCGTATCTTTTGGGCACAATCTCGAAGCCGGCAACAAACTGCATATATTACTGTCTGAGAATAACATTATATCTCTCTTAAGTCGATAAAAAGAAATTGCAATCTATCTGGGAAAGCTACTTTAAAAGTGTAGCTTGACAAACAAATGATCATTTTTAAGTAGCTAAATTACAGCCAGGCAACCGTTTAGAATACCGTGAGGATTCCCAATTAGGGTGACAGAATAAAACAACATTTAAGCATATTTATTTACATCAGATACCGCCAATAAAACTAACAGTGATTTAGCTGGAATTTGACTCATTTTACTGTTGTTTTGTAAAAAATAAATGTATTAAATATGTTATTATTTTGTATGCGCTACATCAAAGACCATGTAATGGATCAGTGCCAAATGAATCAGTCAGTTTACAAAATATAATTATACATGTGTATCATATATATATATATATATATATATATATATATACAGTATATATATATATATCACTCATCATAATTTAATAACTGGCTGTGCCTCTGAAACAGATTTCCTTTTTTTGACTGACATGGAAGCAAATTAAAAAGTTAATTGCGACATTTATCTCACAATTCTGAGTGTATATTTCGCAATTCTATTTATATATTTTTTTTACATCACAGAATAAAAACTAAAAAAAAAATAACTGTTGAATTTTTTCTTGCAATTGTGAGTTTATATATCAAAATTCAGACTTTCCTTCTCAAATTGCTCAGAAAAAAAGTCAGAATCACGACATGTTAACTCGCAATTTCGAGATATAAATGCACAATTCTGAGAAGTCAGAAGTCAGAATTGTGTGATAAAAAGATAAAACATTTTATTTTTATTCCGTGGTGGAAACCAGCTTTTATACCAACGTAAATATCCACTTTTCAGAATCCAATCAATCCAAGTGGATAAAATACTTAAAAATTTAAGCTTGTCACGCAAATAATAATTTTATGCTCAAGCAATCATTCAGAAAACAATCAGGATTGCCATTTATGATGACAGAATAAAACAGCATTTTTAGTTGGCATTTAAATTATTAAAATGCTGTCTTGTAAATGCATTGTATTAAATGAAAAATAGAAATACAATAATCTTATTTTTCTAATGTAATTATCTTTATTTTTTTCTTCAAAGAAAACATAATCAGCATTAAATTAATATTTTTTTTATTTTATAATTAATTACAGTTCATTGATTTATAAATGTATTTCTTTATTTTTAGTTATGTTTGATAGCTGATTATGAATTGGTTCATTTAAATAAACTGAACTAGACCATTGACTAGAATCAGACTTCACAAAACTTCATATGTGGGTGTTTTAGAAAGATCTCTGTGTTCAAATAATGTTACCAAAATATCCATGTTTGATATTACAAAAACGTTACAATGTTACAGGTACAAACAGTTTCATTACACTGCATGAAGCCTGGTCCTCTTTGGCAGCTTATGCAACAAAACTGACCACAGGTTATCTTTGGTGACGCTCACAGGTGAATCTGAAATCATGCGTTCCTCCTTGGAAGAGCTCATTGCATCAGCCTGGGAAAGTGTGAATGCAATTTTGTTTCCCGGCAGACCTGCACACCCAACGGGTGGCAATTGCATAGAAGCCAGACAATCAGTTCACAGAACTGGTGATTTCAGCCAGCAATATGCATCAGACCGTGCATGAACAGACTGATGCTACAACTAAAACTGTGACTATACAGTGATGGATGAAGAGTCCTCAGAGACAAGAGGCAGAGGAAGAGCGAGAGGTCATCGCAGGTTGCCTCGAGGAGAATAAAAGATGATAATCTCTCCCCCTGTAATAACGTCTGAGTCAATCCCTTTGTGAAAACCTTATGAAAATGACTTCTGGCTAGAAATCCCACTGCATCCCAACTCTCAGCACAGATTATATCATGTTCATTCCAGTGACGGCCGATGCTTTCAGACGCAGGGGAAGCAATTACTGCCGAACAGTGAAATTACTCAATGAAAATAATTAACAAGACTGAGAACTAGACTTTTTATCATTTTTTTTATTTGTATCTTTTTTGATTTCTTATTAGTTTTTATGTTCATAAATGATTTTAAAATGTATTTTTACATGTTTTTGCTCTCTCTTTATAATGCCAATGTAAAACACGTCCATTTACTATTGTGTATGCCAGGGGTAGGCAAGTTCAGTCCTAGAGAGCCGCAGTCCTGCAGAGTTCAGCTCCAACCCTAATCAAACACACCTGAACAAGCTAATCAATGTCTTCAGGATTACTAAGGCTATAGGCAGTTGAGTTTTTTTTTCAGGGTTGGAGCTGAACTCTGCAGGACTGCGGCTCTCTAGGACCGAACTTGCCTACCCCTGGTGTATGCTATAAAAATAAAGTTGCCTATAGCCATGGTAAAAGACAAACATTGTGAGTGTTAAATTTATGTATTATGGCAGACAAAAACCCATCAGATTACACAAATAAAATGGTTTTAGAAGCAAAATGTCCAATAAACAATCAGATACGGACTATTTTCTCTTCTTAAAGGGATAGTTTACCTATGCCTACGTCATCCACTAGAATGCTACTCTCTCATGAATGTGCATACGACAGTCAGTGGAAGCCATGTGGAGCACTTTTTATGATGAATGGATGCACTCTTTTGGGCTTCAAAATCTCGACCAACATTCGCTGCCATTATAAAGCTTGGAAGAGCCAGGCAGGACCTTTTTTAATATAACTACGATTGTATTCATCTGAAAGAAGAAAGTCATATACACCTAGGATGGCTTGAGGGTGAGTAAATCATGAGGTAATTTTCATTTTTGGGTGAACTATCACTTTAAATCTCTGCAAGGATGTTGCCTCTGGAAATAGAAAGAACAGCATTTGTATTCTGAGCCACACTTGTGAATTTTAAATGAAAGATTTGCTAATGTTCTATTTTGTGGTGAGTTTGACACAAAAGCTGTAACCACTTAGTAAGAATTGAGGAGGACTAAATGCCCATATTGGTCGATCACTAATTTGAATACGGAGATGGAGGTCTGTGGTGATTGACACCTGAGGAAGTGCTTTTTCAGTAACAGATGGGCTTCTCAAGGTATGTGATTCACCGAATGGATTTTATTAAACTTACGCAAATGTTGTCCTATATCCACTAGTAAAGATTTGAAATTTATCTCCTGAATATCAAGATGTTGTACTAATGAAAATAATGCATTACGATAGTTGATGTAGGTTGAGTAAAAAGTCTTATAGGTATAGACACCTCAAGGAAAACATTAAATCAATTATTCTTTATTAAAGCCCCTACCCAAGCAAATACAATATTCACTGACCCGAATTTATACACACAAGGCTGACTATTTTTATTGCTCAGGGGAATATCGAGGTCCCTGTGAGTGTTTAGATTTGGAGATTTGCACTAAAGGGTGCACCAAGTCAGCAATCTCACAGAAATAAAGAGTGGAATATCTTTCCCATGAGCTCAAAGGATGCAGTGTATTCTGGGCAACGGCTTTCTCACCAACACAGCTCACTAACAGGCCAGCTATATTTCCCTGAAAAATTTAGACGACTCTCCTGAAAAAGAAATGAAGTTGGAGGCGGAGGGGAGACTGTATGAAAACTCACATATGTACATGGCTCTGCTGTCTCTGTGTCTCTCTGCTTGGATTTTGACACAGACTCAGTGCTGCCGATCACATGGTCCTGAACTTAAGCAGAAATTTGTGTCACTTAATAGTTTGTGTCAATTAATAGCTGAGTTTACCTATATATTAACCATTTAAAAAATAAATAAATATAAAAATATATATCGTTTCACAGAAGAGAAATGTGTTAGTTTTACTTTTTATATAGATGGACGGATAGACAGATAGATAGATAGATAGATAGATCCTTTATGATAATTAAAGGGGTCATATGATGCAATTTCAAGTTTTCCTTCATCTTTGGAGTGTTGCAAGCTGTTCATGAATAGATAAGATCCCTAAAGTTGCAAAGACTAAAGTCTCAAACCCAAAGAGATATTCTTTATAAAAGTTAAGACTGGTCCACGCCCTCCAAAATCGCTTCGTTCAAACACGCCCCCACATGTCTACGTCACGATGTGGGAAGAATTGCATAACGCTGCCCAAATGTCAGGGGTGTGAAGTAACGAATTACAAATACTCACGTTACAGTAATTAAGTAGTTTTTATCATTAATTGTACTTTTTTGAGTAGTTTACATTTTAAGTGATGTATCGGTACTTTTACTCCGCTATTTTCCTCCGTTTGTGGTCATTACATGCTTATTTTAATTTTATTTTTATCCATCAACGTGATTGGATAGAGAGATAGTAATAGGTCTCGTGACTTTCGTCAAATCAAATTGTCATAGAAAACTTTAACCACCAACTGTTTATCATGGCTGCTGGAAGTGCATTCTTCAAGCATCAATTCAGTCGCATCTTCCTCTAACTTAATATGTTAAGGTAAATTTCGGATTTCTGCTTACTAAATGATTTGTATATATGCTTGCCTATCTACA